CAAACTTTATTGACCAAGTACTTTAGATAGATAGAAGTGCACCGATTATTGCAAACCCTTATAAATAGACGGCAAATGAAGAGGAAATTACGGCAGCTTCCAGCTTCCTAACTCCTAATTGCATATATGGTAGGTGTCCTTCTCGTCAGAACACATGTTTGGGAAGATTAATCATTGGACAAACTTCGAAAAATTGAATTATGATTAAAACTTAAAAGTTATCTGAACAACTAGTTTTGAAAATAACATATTACCTAACAAACTAGTATTATTTTGTCTAACATCCTATGCATTCTGTTTCGAATAGTTGTGGTAATAAAAAACCAAGTAAATGAAGATATATAGTAGAGTTTCAGTGTTTTAGGAAAAACGCTGAACCAACACTAAAATGGTTAAAGACACAATATTTAGTTTCAACAAGATGATTCAGCAGTTTGAACAATCAATTTTTTTTTTTTTTTTGTTTATTGGAGTAATTCATTTATACAATGTTCTAAAATGCATTAAGCATTTAGGCAGCCGATAAACACCTAGTGCCAAAAAATAAAAATACAAATTACTTTTAATTGATAAAAACATAATCTTATAAAAACGATCGATGAATACATAATGTTTATTGATATTGTTGAGAACCTTTGTGAGAACCTCCTACTGCATATTCTTTTACCTTGTACATAATGTCCCACGGAGTAAGTACCTTAACTATAATTCTAAACATAACTTGTTTATCTTTATGGTGAGTATTATATGACCTAAACCCTTTAATAAGAAAAAGTATAATATGGCGTAACGTAATAAATTAAGTTGTTGACAAACAAAAAACACACACATAATTTGTTTAATGAGATCTATTAGTTATAGTTCTTATGTCAAAGTACAATTATGCCTACCAAAATTAATTAATGATTTCAACGGGAAGTCTGAGATGATGGGCCGACATGTAGTTACGTTTCTTGAATTGTGAGAGATGATATTTATTATTCTGAAAAAAACATTATATACTAAATAAATTTTGATTTCACATCTTCTGTAATCAATGCGGGTAGATGAAGAAATTGTAAATTCGATGGCCAACCATATGGATCTCTTTTTTGGCGTTTCTATATATAGTAACCTCGACTCCAAAGGCATTACGTGACTCAATAAAATCAAGTCTTTTGTTTCTTTTTATCAGAAAAAAAAGTCTTGTGTTTCTCTTAAGTTGGTTGAGAATAATTTTTTTTCAATGGAATCCAATTGTGTTCAATTTCTCGGTAACAAGACCATTCTCATCACTGGGGCACCTGGTTTTCTTGCCAAGGGTACGTTCTTTCTACACCTTGTTGGTTCAGTACTTCGAGTCTTGTTTTTACTATAATAACGACGTAATGAAAATTTGGTAATCGATTATATGCTTCATATTATCTTTGCACCTAGTTATTATATATACTTGACATGCGTAAAATTGGTTCTATAATTGTACGATTGGCATCAACATAGTTTTCTTATATATGGTGAAAACTGAACATATTGTTAATCGTATATTTAAGATAGAAGGATATGTAGATGTCCCGCTAATTATGTGTTTGTTTTTCTTGATTAAATAGAAAAATGAGAGTGATAGTGATAAAAACTTTAAGATATACCAAGAATATTGAGTCATATACTGTTCATTTCATTTATTGCAACACAATAGATTTTTATGGTCCAATAATTATGATACATGCATCTTACAAATATTTAATGAGTTCTGTATATATTTAATTTGAGAAAACTTAATAATTTTGTGTCATAGTATTTGTTGCGGTGGTGAAGTAGTACTCTTCATATTTATATTCTTTTAAAACCCAAATTTTCTATATAATAATTATATGTTTGCACTGCATTTATAAACCAGTATCGCCATTTATGACTTAAACACAAAAAAAGGGTGAATTTCAGCCTATTCATGTGTAGTACAATACTACAAGATCAATTTAGTAATTATTATTGTTTTCATAGTTTTGGTAGAGAAAATTCTAAGGTTGCAACCAAATGTGAAGAAGATGTACCTTCTGTTGAGAGCTCCCGACGAAAAATCAGCAATGCAACGCCTACGTAGTGAGGTATGGTGTATATTAAATCCTATAACCAAAACACTCTACACATAAATCTAGAGGCGATCGATTAATTAATTATCTCAATTATATTAACAATAAGTTTTCTTTCCCTATTACAATGACGCAACAGGTTATAGAGATAGACCTCTTTAAAGTGTTGAGGAACGATCTAGGTGAAGAGAACTTGAATGCCTTGGTGCGGGAAAAAATTGTGCCGGTACCAGGTGATATATCGATCGATAACTTGGGATTGAAAGACACCGATCTCATACAACTTTTGTGGAGTGAGATTGATATCATAATCAACATCGCTGCCACGACAAATTTCGATGAAAGGTATTTATGAAAACAATTGCTGATATTATATTTACTTTGTATTATGAAATATTCAAATTTAACTTTAGTTTCATTTTTCTGTTTTTAATAAAAATAAAAGATATGATATTGGTCTTGGCATCAACACATTTGGAGCCCTTAATGTTCTCAACTTCGCCAAAAAGTGTGTTAAAGGACAATTGCTTCTCCATGTCTCGACCGGTGAGTTCGAAATATATCCTTACAAAAGCGACCATATATACACAGATGCTTACTTACAAATGTATTCTTTTAGCTTATGTTAGTGGAGAACAATCAGGATTATTACAAGAGAAACCATTCGACATGGGAGAGACTCTTAACGGAAATCGGACACTAGACATCAATATAGAACGTGAACTAATGAAACAGAAATTGAAAGAACTTCAAGACTGTTCTGAAGAAGAGATCTCACAAACAATGAAAGATTTTGGAATGGCAAGGTTTGCGGCCTAGTCACACCGTCAAAATTTTCAAACTTTACTTCAATCATCCATTAATGCTTTAATCAAAATGGTCTTAATATAGGGCAAAGCTTCATGGATGGCCAAATACATATGTATTCACCAAAGCAATGGGAGAGATGCTAATGGGAAAATACAGAGAAAATTTGCCAATTGTTATCATACGTCCAACAATGATTACTAGTACTATTGCCGAACCATTCCCTGGTTGGATCGAAGGACTGAAGTGAGTATTGGTTTAATATTATATCCTCGTTATATCTAATTTGATCTCGTGCTCAATATTAAACTTTAATTTATTTTTTCTTAATTGTATATGCAGAACCTTAGATAGTGTGATTGTTGCATATGGTAAAGGAAGGCTTAAATGTTTTCTTGCGGATTCAAACTCAGTCTTTGACCTTGTAAGTCCAATCAACATCTTTGTATCACAAGTCAACACCTAAATCAATTTATAGCATATTAAATAACAGGTTACTTGTTTAAATTAATATATTATATACAATTCCTTGAGAATGTTTTGATAGGAAAATATTATAATAACATTTGCAGATACCGGCAGACATGGTTGTTAATGCGATGGTTGCAGCCGCGACAGCTCATTGGGGAGATACCGGGATTCAGGCAATATATCATGTTGGTTCTTCTTGTAAGAATCCAGTCACGTTTGGACAACTTCACGATATCACGGCTCGTTACTTTGCTAAACGTCCTCTGGTTGGTCGGAATGGTTCACCAATCATAGTGACCAAAGGAATCATTTTGCCCACTATGGCTCAATTCAGCCTCTACATGACCCTTCGTTATAAGCTTCCTTTACAGGTACCTTAACATTAACTCTATGATTTGATTTTTGGAGTTTAGGAAAAAAGTTTCCAACTTATGTTCTATTTTCATTTCATTCCCCAACTCTTAAACTTGCAAAGAACACTAAATTTTGTTCGTTTTTTTTGCACATCTATTTGTTGCTAACAATAAATATGGAGTAATTTTTTTTTTTCCACCTTTGTTTTTCACTTCTCAGTTGTTTGTTTTTTTTTTTTTTCACTTCAGATACTTCGATTGATAAATATAGTATATCCATGGAGTCACGGAGATAACTACAATGACCTCAGCCGCAAAATCAAGCTAGCTATGCGACTAGTTGAGCTTTACCAGCCTTACTTACTCTTCAAGGGCATGTATGTACCACTCTTAAACTTTCACCAAACTTTAAGATTAACTAAGACAGTAACATCTTTATCTCTTAGGATAGAGAACATGAGTTCTTATCATATCTTTAAGTCGTCATCACAACTTAACTAAGTCATGACATTATATTATATATTCTTGTTTGTGCAGATTTGATGATTTAAATACCGAAAGACTGCGAATGAAAAGAAAGGAGAATATCAAAGAGTTAGATGGATCGTTCGAGTTCGATCCCAAGTCCATTGATTGGGACAATTATATCACAAACACCCACATTCCTGGCCTCATCACCTATGTGCTTAAACAATAAATTATATATACTACTAATATGTTTGCAAGTTGCAACTATTGTAATGAGTGTGAATCTCGTGTGTAATATCATTATATATATCAACACATGTTAAAGAATACTATTATGTCATCATAATTTAATTACATTTTCTGGTTTCATTCAAATATGAATTACATCAAAAGATATACAATTTCTGTTGGCTTGTAAGAGTTCATCAACTTCACCAGTTCAAAACAATCTATTGCAAAACTACTGTCGTCTTTTGTTGATCAAATATGAGTCAAATAATCTGGCTATTTACTACGAATGCTCTAACATTATTAATCTGCAACTACCACCACCACTGATGGGATCCAGTTAAAATATTTTCTGAGGCTAGATCATCATAGCCTTGTCAGTTGAATTTAAGTTCGATAGGACCTAGCACAAGTGGCTCTACAACAAAAATTTGGATGTTTCTATGTAAAATAGCTACTGGCACAAGTGGCTCTACAGCAAAAATTTGGATGTTTCTATGTAAAATAGCTACTGTTTCTAGTCATGTTCATTGTTCAACTTGTTGGACCACAACAAAATTAATGTAAGCACTACTTGAGCCTAAAAAGCTTTTAATATATGATGAAATACCATTATCTTTTTTTATGTAAGTTTCTAAGAGAGACTATTTACACAACAATAATCTAGTTTTTGTATCATTCTGTTGAAGGTACATATGCCTCCATGGCTCAATTTGAAAAAAATAAGTCTGAGCTTCTCATACAATAAATGGTTGTTGAGCCTTTTTGGGTCCTCTTGTCCTTCTCGGGTTAGCGCTGATCATGCAAGAGAATGCGTTTCTCAAATCCGAATCCTCTTCACTAGTGAGGAACTTTGCTGCAGCTGGATTTGCCAAGAGAAGCTTGGCCACAAGGTAACCTGCAATGGACCAAGTCTGGTAAAGCCGTGCCTGTTTACCGATGAATCTTGCTCTTTTGGTATCGTAGTACTCGGGCCATTTGTCTAAGGAAATCCGTCTCTCGGCTAACTCAACCGCCTTTTCTGCAATCTCTGGTCTACCCATTTTGATGCTTGCTACTGTCAGCTGAAAAAACCAAGATGGAATCCGGATTTCAAATTAGCACAAATGTGGCTCATTGATAAACAAAAATGATTATCTCATTGTGCAATCCAATATGTCAAAAAATCAGTTCTAGTTCAGATGCAAATCTCAGAACCAAACACAAAAACCGGAAAACAAAAAAAAAGAACCTGAATGTCCGGTTTATGAGGTCTAAAGAGAGAAATCTGAGCTAACCTGCCATAACAAAGTTGGCCAGGCACCTCCATTGTGATAAGACCAAGGACTGCAACATAATCAAGATGCTTAAAATGATAATTGGGATGGTGGAAATACTATAGTGAAAACTTCAAAACATCTATTGATGATCATATGGGAGTGAGAAATTACGTGTTCTTTGGATCACTTCCGGTTATAATTCGCCATTCTTCACCTTCCATAGCAGGGTAACAGATCTTGAGCGGCATGTCTGCTACAAGCTCTGCCCATTTGGCTTCAATGAGATCAAGAATTGCATGTGACTGATCATTTGTAGCCAAACTGCTCACTATAGACCAAAGGTTCCCCAGAGTAAAGAATCTGAAATCCATGTGGGCGGGCTGAAGGTTTCCAATCAAATATCCTCCTCTGTTGGGCATAAAATCAACTAACCATGAGGGGATCTGATCTGGATAGATGTTGAATTTATTAACCGCATCATAAGAGTATTCTTCGGTCTGGTAACGGTATATTTCATTAATTTTTTTCAGGTCCAGCCAGTAGTATTCCCTGATGTGGAAATTTAATGCAACAAGACGATTGTTGAGAGCTCGGATTAGATCATCTGACCCATCCTCTGGCGTAAGCATCTCACGTGCACAGACCAAAGCCGAATAAAAGAGTGCCTGAGAAAGTAAAACATAATAAGCGGTTTTACAACTGCATAGACAGCTTCTGGTGCAAATTCAGACTGAAGGAACTGCTCACCTGAATCTCCAGGGGATGACCATGGATTCCCATTCGACGGTCTATCATGCAGGACCCATCAGTGACTAATAAAGTAGGGAACATATCGAAACCATCAGCAAGACACAGTTTCAAGATCATCTTGATTCCGGTCTGCACATCAACTCTTTCCTGCACTGAAAGATCACCCGTGCATTTTCCATATGCTCTTAATAATATAATCCACCACAAGCCTGGAATATCCGAAACAAATGAAAAGTGAGTCATGTAATCATAAAGTGCAAAAAATTTAAAATATCCTTTTCACACAGGTATCTGAAGCTTCTCTTACCAGAATCTACCGGGGCAACACGTCCAATAGCTGCTTCCCCAAAATCAGGATCTAAAACTTCTTCGGTCATTGAATCATCGCCATCAAGAGGAACAGTTTTCACCTTGAAACTACAAGGCATCAAACCTTGACCTGGGCTATGGCAATCCATGGTTTTTTCCCAACTCTGGTCAGGGATAAGTATCATATCAGCTCATAACATAACCAAATATTACGCTGGACTCGGTTTAACAAAAAGAGGTTACTACTACAATCATTTCCCTTTAACCACAAAAACATTTGACAACATCATGCTTCCATATGAACTAATCATATTCAGAACTAAGCTAAGAAAAACAGAAAGACTCTGTTACCTGTAACTGGAGGGTGTAAAGGATGAAATTGCGAACAATATCATACTCCCCCTTAAGAAGAAAGGCAATCCCCGAGGGTATGAAATCACGAATGAAGACCTGATCATAATTCAGAACACTAGTAGAGCTCGGGTCATTCGCAGCAATGGTTCCAATAGGACTTCCACAATAGAAAACAACAGACTGCCTCAATAGATCCCAAGCTTCATCCTCAATAGACTTTGTTCCAACTGATTGTGCATTACCATTAGATGAAAGACTTCCATTTACAGGTAGAGGCATTTCATCCAAGTCGCTTTTCAAACCGTCAGAAGGAAGTACCGTGGATCTGATGCTCTCCTCAACATCATGTTTTTGGCATTTGCAAACAAACTTTTTACCTTTCAAAGAACAGTTTGAACTATGAAATGAATTCCCTCGCACCGCGGAGTTAGATACGGTTGAGAACTCATGCGAGCTTGTACACCGGACGCCCTTTCTGTTTATACTAACGGGTTTAAACGAGAGGTTTGGAGTGGAGTTAACAAAGAAAGAAGCTAGACAACAAGATTGAGATAAAGATCCCAATGGAACACGTAGAACAGTTTCTGAAGCTGCCATTTTGAGTACTACCCTATATACTCAAAGAAGAAATGATCAAACTTTAAATGACACCTGCAAGAATTGGATAAGAAGACTTAAGAATCCAGAAAAAAGAACAAACTTTACACAAGAGACCTAAACATGTGGGAAATGAATGAATCAAATCATAGAAAAAATTCAAACTTTTTCCAAAATTTCGCTACAATCATAGAGAAAACACTATCGAACAAGTCCAATTTCAGTGCTTTATCGTTATATCCGATTGTTTTTTTGTTTTAGCCTCAGGAAATGAAAATTTTCAAAGATTGGAAATAGGAACATATAAATGGGATAAAAGCATCCTCACGAAGAGATAACGATAGGGACTTACTTTGATGATCCAGATTCAGCTTTTCTCAGAGAGATAGAGAGATTTTGAATCAGAGTCGTCGAGGAAGAGAGAACCAAAACAAAAATCCGGTGAAGTGACTGACTGGTCCAAAACCAAACCCTTGTTTTCGAAACACGAGCTTTTAATTTTTCCATCATCCACGAGTTCACGCGTGTGAAACGACGACGTGTCTAATCTCTATACACTTTTTTTTTTCCTTGATTTTTATTAATCAATTTTTCGTATAAGTTCTTCTTCTTTTAAGGATTTGAAATGGACAAGCCTGATCCTAATGGCGTTATGTGTTTGGTGGATTGATTTTGGATGGTTCCTTGACTCAAATAGAGATAAGATATGACCTAAATATGGCTATTTTCCTAGCATTGAATTGAATCAAATGAGTAAACTCGAGAATCGCTATCTAACTTATGGTCACTTCCAGATTCTGTCATGTTCGAATCTTCTTTCAGTAACCATGTCTACTACATAATGAGAAAATACATATATATCAAAAAAAGTTCAGACCAGTGTACTAAACCGCCAGGTATAAAGCTCAAATTCATGGAAAAGTTTCTTGCTTTAGTTCGTATAAGAGAATGAAACAAGGGAAAATTGGATATAAAGGATAAATAATTTAATTATTGTCCATCTATGCATTCTATATTCATAATTGATCATATATGATTTAATATTGGTCATCTATGCTTTAATATAATTAAAATCCCATTTTATCCCTAGTTTCTTTAAATCTTGCTAAAGTATAAAAAAAATTCCAAAATTAATTAGATTTCTTTCTAAAAACAATTTGGAGAAAATATATGACAAAACAATATTAATTTACTTTCCAAATATTCTTGCCAAGATAATTCCAAATCTTCTTCTTATTTGGAATAAGGAACAAAAGAAGAGACGTCAAAGTGGACTAGGGTAATCTATTTACTTATGTGTAAAGAATTCTAAACTAATAAGAATACATGTTCTAAAATTTGTAGACGTAATCTTAACCTTAATATTCAATTTTATCAGATGTAATCTTAACAATATTCAATTTCTTTATTTAAAGATTTATTTTCCTTTACTAAAAAGAAATTCTAAATTATATAGAATTTGTTTTCTATTTTTTGTAGAATATATAGAAAAATATAAGAATGTGTTTTCTAACAATTTTAGAACATGGGTAAATGTTAGAAAAGATATTCTATTTTTTTTAGAAGAAAGAGCAAAGTATAGAACATGTATTCTAAATTTCGTAGAAATTAACGTTCTAAATTCCGTAGAACATAAATGCGTTCTAAATTCCGTAGAACATGTAGAGTGCATAGAATACATTATCTAAATTTTATAGAACATGTGCAATGTGTAGAATACACATTCTAAATTCAGAATGTGTATTCTAAACTTCGTAGATCATATTTTAGTTATCCAAAACAGCAACAAAAATGACATATTTTCGACATTATAAGTATCCTCATGACTTCTTTTTCATTTGTCTACAAATTGTTCTAAATTTTTTTTGAAAAACTAGTTAAACCAACTACAAAGGGTAAATTAGGAATATGTGATATTTAGTCATAGAATGCATAGATGGACAATAGTTTAATTATTTATCCTTTATATCCAATTTTCCCATGAAACAATATACTTGGAAAAAATAGAAAATGCAAGTGAACAGAGGACGTAGACAATGATGGGCCAAATGAAGATCAACTAATGGGCCTTAAATAGAGTAATTAGCCCACGTGTTGTTACCAAATAAAGACAAAATAATTATGTTTACATTTCATTTGCGCATCTAGTGTTGTGTTATACAGTGAAGATGCTTGGATTGGACTTTCGACATGAAGATGGGTGACGCTGTTAACAACATGAAGATTATTGATACTGATTGAGGTAAAGGAAATTAAAGATTTGCTGTCTGATACAAAATGCAACGCCTTCAAAACGCTATAGGCGTTTGCGTTTGGTTGCAGTGAGTTTTCTTTTTCTATTTTGGTAGTTTCTAGCAAGTGCGTGGTGGAAGAGAGGAAGCTGCGTGGGCCAATTCTGCCTTTACTCAAATCTTGAGAAGTCAAAGAAATACGCTTACAAATTACAATAATCAGCTAAAACACTCAGCTCTCTTTCTCTCATACTGAAGATTAAAACATCTTCAAGGAATCAAATCTTTCTCTCGGGTATAACTTTTTAAGATCGACAAGCAAGCACATATTGTTTGTTAAAAACTAATCTATACCCACCCGTCCCCCTAAGGAAAATGTCTATAGGATGTCTAAGTTGTTTCAAAGTCATCTTTTTCAAGAAGAAGCAGAGCAAGAAAGAAAACAAACCCCTGAAAGCTGAGAGATTGCTAGAGCCGGTTAAAAAAAGAGAAAATGGAAAAGACACCGCGCACAAGAAGAGGCCTCCTATGGGGGAAAGAAAGTCCTATTCATATTCGAGCTCATCACATGTAGGCAGCAACGATGTTGAACCGAATGTCAACGATTTGTATGGACCAGATGACTTTTCTTTATCAATGAATAATGATTTCAACAAAGTGAAGACCTTTGATATACGTGGAGTTACAGAAGCCACGGCCAAGTGAATATTTATAGAAGAGGTTCAGAGATGCGTTGTTCATAACTTGTAAACTTAGAGCGGCTATTTATACATGAAACTGTACGGCTCTCTTGATAATATTATCTGTCTTATGTATCTAGTTACGTACATTTTTATTAATGCAAGCATATCTGTCTTAAGGTTAAAAATATCAAAAGTGGTAAGAAAGTAGCAAAGGATTGACTCAAGAATCAGAACACTTAACTTAAAGAATCATTCAATGTGTTTATGTGTACAAAGCACCTCTCACGTTCCTTCTGGAGGAAGGAAATAACTATAAGTTGCGAAGAAGACTTGCAAAGCCGCAAATATAAGAAGCAACAAGGCTGCAAATGTCCATGGACTATCGAAATGCGTGTGAATAAACTCTGCGCAGTGAACATGGAATCCTTTAGAAGTATACTGGTTAACTCCTTCAAACACCTTTGCTAAGTAACTCTTCTCTAAATCTAGGGCAATGTCTTTACCAATACTTTTATAAAACCGAGATACATCATCCTCTGTTCCAAAATAGTTCTCGAGGATTCTCCTTTCGCTAAGGAACGCTGCATCGCTCTTTTCATTTATAAGACAAGCAATGAAAGCTACGTAGCTTGTTATGTGGTTTGATGAGTCAGTATATAATTGCTCAAATGCAACACAGTTTATGAAGACGAGGCGGTAAAATCATCCATGACTACTGGAGGAATGTGAAGCACACCGTTACTATACCTTATGTCTAGGATTGAGTCAGTGTTCTTCCTCAGTTTGAATTTGATTCCCCGGAGATGAAGCTTCTTGGCAGATAGAACAAATTTCGAGAAATTCATGATCATTCAGTGATGATTTACTGCTACATTTTCGTCGTTTCCCCTCAGAACAACAGAGGATTGTGAGATAGTTATGATCTTTGATGCTTCTTTGAGACGGAACGGGAACAAAAGTCTTACGTATCAAATCAAGAAGATGTTTTGCTTCAAGACCATAATGTTTTGCCCAAAATGTCTCCGGTCTTTGTAATGAGTAGTCAAAGAATTCAAACAGCCGTAAACTACCTTTCAATTTTCTACATAAGTCGCTTCAACATTTGATGGCTAAAATGTAACTTGTGATTAGCTTACTCCTTAAAGAGTGAAACAAAAGTTGCAGAGGTGATTGTATTTGAACCTTACTCGTAAGCTATATAATAGAGACATTACCAAAAAGTATGAAAGAGATTAGTTTAGTGTTTACCAAAATGTGAAAAAAGCATTTACAACAACCCTTACCCATCTTTGCTATGCAATGACCTAGGAGTTAAAAAAAAGTCACCTTTGATGGCTTGGATAATTAAATACTTTTTTCACCTTTTTTGGACTAATCAAAGACTTAAGAAACGACTTTCGATCACAAAAAAAAAAAGACTTAAGAAACGACTCTTGGACTACAGCCTAGAATTCAGTCTTACAGTCAATACTTATCACCAACTCTTTCTTATTGTAAAATACACTATAAATGTTTTTGTCTACACAATTTTATACAACCTTCCTAAAGGTAACATAATTGTTACACATTTTTTGTTGAATCTGTATATAACTGCTCAAATGCGACACAGTTTAAGAAGACCATTAAAGGTAACATAACTTCCTAAATGTATACAGTCTAGAAGATGACATATAATTGTTGCACATTTTTCGAAGCAAAACTGGGATTTATGGCATTTTAGACAAAACTTCCTCAAGGTAAAGTTTTACAAAGTGAGCTGCGTGGAGTTGGTATACTTTTTTAGTTTTTTTTTGCCCTCTCTTTCCGTAATTTCTTGCAAGTGAGTGGTGGAAGAAAGGAAGCTGCAGAGAAACACTCTTATAATAATCAGCTTAATAACTTAGGTCTCTTTCTCTCATTCTAAAGATTTAAACATCTTCAAGGAATCAAATCTTTGTCTCTGGTATAACCATCTTCAAGTTCGAGAAACAAGCACATACTGTTTGTTAAAAAAACTCATCTATCTCCCCCCAGAAAAATGTCTACAGGATGTCTAAGTTGTTTCAAAGTCATGTGTTTCAAGAAGAAGCAGAACAAGAAAGAAGACAAACCCGTGAAAACAGAAAGATTGCCAGAGCCACTTGAAGAAAAAGAAGGTATACAAGACAAACCTCTGAAAGCAGAGAGGTTACCAGAGCCGGTTGAAAAAAAAAAGAAAGATGTAAAATACGGCGCGTGCAATAAGATGCCCGAGAAATGTATGTTCAAACCCAAACCAGAATGGATCTCGCATGTAGGCAGCAGCGATATTGGACCAAACGTCTACGATTTGTATGGAGATCAATACGCAGAAACAGATGTATCTTCTACGTCAATGAATAATGAATTCAACAAAGTGAAGACCTTTGATATACGAGGAGTCAAAGTAGCCACGGTCAAGGAATAAGAGAAGAGGATATTTATACATGAAATTGTACGGCTATCTTGATAATGTTATCTTGGCCTTGAACCACTGATTTCTTCTTTTATGTATCTGGTTACATGTTTATCAATGCAAGCATATCTTTTTGAAGGTTAAAAAAAACAAAATCGAAAGTGTTAAAGAAAATAGCAAAAAAAATTATAGATTCAAGAATCAAAACACTTAATTTACTAACTTATAGAATCATTCAATGAGTTTATGTGTACAAAGCATTTTCACTTTCCTTTCGGAGGACGGAAATAACTATAAGCTGCAAAGAAGACTTGCAAAGCGGCAAACATAAGAAGCAACAACGCCGCAAATGACGACGCAAATGTCCATGGACTATCGAAATGCGTATGAATAAACTCTGCGCAGTGAACATGGAATCCTTTAGAAGTATACTCGTTAACACCTTCAAACACCTTTGCTAAGTAACTCTTCTCTAAGTCGAGAGCAATGTCTTTACCAATGCGTTTATAAAACCGGGACACTTCATCCTCTGTTCCAAAATAGTTTTCTAGGATCCTTCTTTCGGTAAGGAACGCTGCATCGCTCTCTTCGTTTATAAGACAAGCCATGAAAGCTACGTAGCTTGTTATGTGGTTCGATGAATCAGCATATAATTGCTCAAATGCAACACAGTTTAAGAAGACCGAGGCGGTAAAATCATCCATGACTACTGTAGGAATATGAAGCACACCGTCACTATACCTTATGTCTAAGATTGAGTCTGTGTTCTTCCTCGGTTTGAATTTGATTCCCCGAAGATGAAGCTTCTTGGCAGATAGAACAAATCCAAGAAATTCATGATCATTGAATGACGATTTACTGCTAGATTTTCGTCGTTTCTCCTCGGAACAACAGAGGATTGTGAGATAGTTATGATCTTTGATGCTTCTTTGAGACGGAATGGGAACAAAAGTTTTACGTATCAAATCAAGAAGATGTTTTGCTTCAAGACCATAATGTTTTGCCCAAAACGTCTCCGGTCTTTGTAATGAGTAGTCAAAGAATTCAAAGGCGATGTCGTTTAAACCACTACAAGTAACTAACTTCGATGTTTCGAATAAAGTTTGAAGAAGAACATAAGGAACCTGGTTTTCCAAAAGGAGAAGATCCGCTCGAATCGACGGTAAAATCCATGGCATTCTGAAAATAGGATCATCAAGATTAGTGTAAACAACTTTCCCGGAAACAACAAAGAACAACGTGAGGATAAAGCAACCATCAAGAACCATCATCTCAACCAATTTTTCAGAATCTAAACCAAGATCCTCGGAGTAAGAACCTCTTATAACTCCTTCCAAACTTGATACAGCTTTGACCAATTCTTGAGGATCAATACCCTTTTCTTCCATTTTAGCCACGAAAAACTTCAAGAAGCGGCGTTTGTGCTGCTGAGTCATTTTGAGATGTTCTTTGCCGTGATGGTAAGGACCAATAGAGACAATCTTGGGTTCGTAAGCTTTGAGGTTGATTCGCGCAAGGCTCTGTGGGATTCTCACGATGCAACATGATTCTGAACCAGCTGATTCTCTCAGAAGCTTCAAACCATTATCTTCTGAGATTAAGTATTAGAAGGTCCCACATTGCTTGGGATTAAGATCTTTGGGTAGTATATAAAGGATGTGGCAATCCTTAACTCTTGAGCTAGCTTTTGGGTTAAGTTAGGCCACATTCCTAATATGGTATCAGAGCCCAAGGTTGGCCCAACAAGCAAATTCCCACAAAAATGGTTTCCCACCTATGTGGCCCATATAAGTGGCATGTCTTGTTGTATTTCCGAGATGTTGGGTTTGGGCTGTTCCCGTTGGGCCGTTTTGGGTTAAGTTAGGCCACATTCCTAATATTAAGTTATTTATGTCTACAACAATCTGTGGATCCATTAAGTCAAACCTTCAATACCATCTCAGATTGTCTTCTGGTTAGGTGGAAGACTTGAACTACGTTTTTTTTTTATGGATTAGCCTTGAATTTTGTGGAAATTTGGGAAGGAGAAGTGAAATTTCGCACTATAGCAAATTGTTGACAAGTCTCCATGTTAGGTCGGCAGAGGAACAAAAGTATTATATTTGAAAACCTAAGACTTTTCTTCTTAACTTTTGCAAGAGATGACAATTATTATGAATTTTCATAGTCTAGGATCTCCACGTTTTTTTACAGTTTTACCAAATTTTTGACAACTCTCCGTTTACTTTCTTAAGTCAACTTTCAAAAAGTCACAGAACACGCTTACACTAGTAATCTGCAAGAACTCAGATCAATTTCCCTTATACTGAAGATATATAACATCAAGAACCAGATCTTTTGTCTCTGTATACCTTTGATTACAATCAACAAGCAAGAGGTTGTTAAAATCTTGAAAATGTCTAAAGGATGTCCAAGTTGTCTCAACATCATATGTTTGAGGAAGAAGCAGAGGAAGGAGCAGAGTAAGAAACAAAATAAACCTGTGAAAACAGAGGATTTGGTTGAGCCAGTAGGAGTAAGAGGTGATGAAGAAGAAAGCCTGGACAAGAAGACGAACATCACGGGAACAATGGGATATTTTCAACCTGAATATATGTCTAGTAATGACAATTTTTATGGAAAACTTGGGGAAGGTGATTCTTCTTCATCCTTGAAAAATGATTTCAACAAAGTGAAGACCTTTGATTTACGAGGAGTGGCAAAAACAGAGAAGAAGTAAGGAAGAAGATGGGACTTGAGAATCGAGATGTAATGTTCATCATGTTTAAAATCTTCACGAGCTCTAGATTGCTTTCTTACTCAATATTATAATAGTCTTGTATTGAGCAACTGGCCTCTACTTTCACCAACCGATTACATGTATGCTACCAATTAAAATATGTTTCTAAGTTTAAGAATAAAAAGTGTTTAGAATGCAGCAGAGGACTGAGAACAAGTAAATCACAAATTTGATACTTATACCTAAAGAAACAATCAGTGTGTTTATGCATACTGCTTAAAGAGATAAAGGAGGCCCTTACAGTTAACTGTTTTTGGGAGGACGAAAGTAAGCATAAGCTGCAAAGAAGGCTTGGAAAATGGTAAGGAGAAGAAGCATCAAAGCGGCACAAGATGATAAAAATGTCCATGGAGTGTTGAAATGTGTGTACTTGAACCCTGCCCATTGTACGTGGTATCCTTGTGAAGTGTACTCATTCACTCCCTCGAACACATTTGACAAGAAACTCTTGGATATGCTGAATGAGATGTCTTTCCCAATGTTCTTGAAGAATAAAGAAACTTGTTCACCCGTTCCGAAATAGTTCTCTAAAATCCCTTTCTCGATTAAGAAGGTCGCATCCTCTTCTGTGTTTATCAAGCAACCCATGAAAGTTACATAGCTAGTAATCTCGGTGGAGCAACTCATATTAAACTGCTCAAAGGCAACACAGTTGATCAAAAGATTACTGATAAAGTCATCAAAGACAAGTAGTGGTACTTCAAGAAAACCGCTCTTGAAACTGATGTCTAACGGTGTCTCTACATTCTCCTTCCGCTTGAATTTTATTCCCCGAAGTCGAAGTTTTCTGGCTGACACAATTAGCCCAAGAAAAGGACGAGGAGGAGGAGGAGGAGGCGATGATGTTTGCGCTCCAGTTATCTCCTTTGAGCAACTTATCTTACCGAGACAAGTATTTTTAGATGTCTCTGTTCTTGAATTTTCCCTATGACCACTGAAAATATTGATACAACATTGCCTTGGAATGGTTGGTGGATGCGGGACAGGTTTGAAAGTCTTACGAATGAGATCAAGAAGATGTTTTGCTCGAAGATTGTTGTGCTTCTTCCAGAGCCCTTCTGGTTTTTTTATAGAGTAGTCGAAGAATTTGAAGGCCAACATGTTTAAGCTAGTGGATGGAGCTAACTTTGATGTCTCCAAAAGAGCTTCAAGAAGAAAGAGAGGAACCTGGTTTTCGAGAAGAAGAAGGTCGCTTCGAAGTGTTGGCAATATCCATCGCAGCTTGAAAATTGGGTCTTTGAAATTTGTGTATTCAATCTTTTGTGAAACCACAAGGAACAACATAAGAATGAAACAACCATCAAGAATCATCACCTTGATCAGCTTTTGTCGACTAAATTCAAGATTTTCAGAGTAGGAGTCTCTTATCTTCTGTTCCAATCCCGAGACTACATCGACTAAGTGACAAAGATTCACACCATTGTCCTTAGTCTTTGACACGAAAATCTCCAAATAACGTTTTTTATGCTCCTCTATCATCTTGAGATGTTGTTTATCACTCGAATGGTGATAAGGACCTATTGAAACGATCTTGGGTGCATAAACTTTGTCGTTGACTCGCTCGAGAGTGTGAGGGATTCTATAGATGCAACAAGATCTATCACCTGCTGATTCCTTCAGATGGACTGCTGGAATCACTTTATCTAAGAGCAAATAAGCTTCTTCTTCGTTTTCGTCCGGGATCGTGGCACTCTCTCCATTGGCTTGGCTTGGAGGATCCATGGCTCTTTTGTTAGTCTTTTTTTTTTTCCTTTGTCAAATGGTTTTGTTGAACATCTAAACAAAATATTTAACGATTAATGTAAGACCACAGAAGAGCGAATTTAAAATAATCATTTTTGTCTTTTTTCTATATTATTATAAATTAATATCACGTTCCGGAACTCCCGTTTCTCCAGTGTAAGCCTTTCTCAGTTCCAACCGTCCACAGATGGCACTACTAGACTGTACAAGTGATAAATACTTAAATTTTATTTTGAGTTTTGTTTGTTTGTGATTGATTTATTGTGTAAAAGTCTCAACTAACAGATTGGATCCATTAAGTGAGAGATGACATAAAATAAAGGTATGTTCGTTTGATCATATAACATTTTTATCTAGATGATCTATCCAAACCAAATGTTCTATTTGAATATTGATCGTTTCAATTTTTGAATATCAATTGAATAAAACATCTGAATGTATTTTATTTGTTTGTTTAATTTTTTAAATCATCTTTATCTAGATAAGTTTAATAAGAAAATAACTAAAATGTTCATATTTTGATCTAATCATACTTTTAATTTTAATATTATCTATACTAGTGTTCACTAAAAGGTCTTCAAGCTTAGACTTCCACTTGCTTAGGAACTGGTACCAGCAACCCGAGACCCGTTTTACTATCAGGAGCTAAATGAGAATACGGATTCTCCTTATACAATGGATTCGATGTCAATATCCGCACACCAGAGTCCCTGCGGATTTCCAAAACCTCAGGCAATCCGTCGGAACATCCCTTGGACATGCCCACATCAATCCTAATGGCTTTATCATTACAAACACCGTTGATACCAGCATCCTGGATTGTGTGTCCCATGATCATCCTCTTAACCCCGGGAATAGTGGAAAGAGCATGCTCAAGAGCTGCACAATCACATTTGTGAGCCATCTCTTCCGAGAATTTCCTCAACCAAACTAGAGAGTTTCCTCCTCTACAATACACAGGCGCATATCGTCCTCCTTTCAACCCGTTAATCCAACCCCTAACCTCCTCGTTTATCCTCTCCAGGCCATACTCTATGTGCTCCGCTAAAAGTCCCCCATGAACAAACACCGAATCACCAACAACAGCGACTGTTTGATTCTTAGTCAAGAATCTCTTTGCAATCGGACCTTCAGGTCTCAATGCAGCAATCCTAGCTCTAATTCCGTCAAAACAGTCAGCTCTCACACGAGGGAAGCTCATCGGAATCCCTTCATAAGGATCCTTAGGTTTATCAAGACCACTGCATAAAGTCTTCATCTTGTTCCCTAAACAATACCAATCAGCCCAAACCTGAAATTCCTCTAAACCCTTCTTGGTCACATGTCTAAAGTCACCTTCTATATTCATGATCTCATGGTTGCCATTCATAGTCAGAACCTTACCTCCCGCTCTCTCAGCCTCTCGTTTCAATTTCTCTAAGAAATAAAGAATCTTTAACTCCTCTCCTCCTTTATCCAGTACGTCTCCCACCTGAACAACCATCGTGGATCCACTAGACCATCGGTCCGACGAATCAATCAGTCCAGCGATATTGAATGCTTCTCTAGACTTGTCGAGATCGCCATGGAGATCGCCGATTGCAACGAGTCGCTCCGGTTTGTCGAACCTCGTTTGCAGAATCTCATTCTGTGGGCTAGGATCTTGAGGCAAGAAGATGCCGGAGACGGAGTAATCAACGAAAGTGTCGACGAAAGAAGAGATGAGATTGGGAATGTTCTTGCAGATTCCGCTAGGGTTTTCTCTGCTTGACATTTTCCGGGATAATGGCGGCCAAGAACAATGAAAAAAAAAAAACAATGGCACTTAATAAGTTTCCTTATAAATATCGAGAGAAATTTTATACCCGCAGAAAGATCGGATACTGAATAATAAAGAGACAAGAGAAGGAAATAGATTTCTTATAACTGCTTATTATTGAAGTATGAATTGTGTTTTTATAACGAACGAATTCTATCGTTTATATAGGTATAAAAAAATAAATTACTATGCATGCATAGTGACGTAGGTTCCACATATTTACGTAATGTTTATAACATGTGCGCATCCTTTTGCGACTTTACGATTCCTCCTTTTTACGACTTTTATAAGAGTAAAAGATTTGTTTGTAAACTCACGATAGAATTAGAATGTTTAGATCGAAGCTAATAGTGACCACATGACAGCAATTGGAAATGAGAGGAAAAAATATTACAGGGCCAAGCCCAATGTTATGTTTCTTATGAATTAAGTAGCCCATAAACCAAGTTATACGTATGGAAATGAGTTGAACCAGAGTATTGGACTCTGACCAGCATCCCCTAGTTGAAAGTTGAAACCAGACGAGATCTTCCAAGCTTAATTGTATAAAACCAACGATGAGTATCCAAGTCCCTTTACTACAATTAGCGAGCTGTTTTATGTTTTTTTTTTTTTGGCCAATCAAATGGGATAGAGCTGTTTTGTGTATATACAAGAGTTACAGATATAATGTACACATAATTTCACTAAGAGACGAGAAAAGAGAAAACAAGATTCATGTATTGCAACAAAAAAAAAAAAAAAAAAAAAAAAAAGGAGAAAACAAGATTCACTGCTAGTGTCCGTTGAAGGTGTGTCAGTATTGACAAAAAATAGAAAGGAAGAAGTTGTGTCAGAATTGCGACCAGTTTAATACTTTTGGCACCGTCAACGTCTCTGTTGTTGGTTGTTTGTTGTTGTTACTAGTCGTGACTAAGCCTGGGCATTCGGATTTCGGATCGGATTCGGATCGGATATATTCGGATTTGGATAATTCGGATATGAGAGATAATTATCCGTTCGGATTTTATGACTTTTCAGTTCGGTTTCGGTTCAAATATATCCGGATTCGGATAATTTTGGTAGGAGAGTTTATTATCCGTTCGGATTTTATGAGTCATCGGTTCGGATAGGTATCGGATTCGGATCGGTTTTCGGGAAAAAAAAACTAAAAAATTGTTCAATTTAAATAAAAATTGGTTTAATCTTACTAAAACAAGGCCGTTATGGATTTTATGACCAGAAGATAAAAAACCTCTTATGTAAACATTTTTTATGCATTACTTAAAATAATGAAGATTTTGTGACAAACTATAAAACAATAAACAGAACCCCTTAATTATGTAAATCAATCGGGACGAAGACGTTCAAGTTTACGGCTAAATCCAAGACACTTTCTTCTACTAAGCAGATTGATAACAAACATACTCGTACTCTCTCACTGAATCATTGATAAGAACAGCGAAATCAATGAGATCGAAATCTCCAGAATCATACAATCAAACATCAGATCAATCGGGACGAAGAGGTTCAAGTTTACGGCTAAATCTAAGACACTATCTAAGATGAGGTTGTATAGAAATCAAGAGACAAGGAAGAAATGACTAACCTAAAGATGAGGTTGAAGCGGTGCCAGTGGTGAACAGAGGGCGGTGGCTCCACGGGCCAACTAAGGGGGTAAGATGAGGCAATTGACTTATTTGCTATCGTCAATTACAATACATACGTGATATCTATATATAAGAATCTCATATGAAGCAAATGAACTCGACGAAGAAGAGAGAGAGAAGTACAGAAATCAATTTCAATGGATAAAAGAATCTATATATATCCAAATGATACCTTAAAAGGAGATCGAAGAGAGTAGCGATGACAACGTCCGCTACGATCTCTTGGCACAGGGGAGTTTGGTTTGCGCATGCCACACCAAAACATTCTTTTTGTGTATGGTTGGCAGCCCATAATAGACTATCTACAGGAGATCGTATGATCAAATGGAAAGGGAATGCATCGTGATCTTGTGTTCTATGCAATACCCACCAAGAGACTCGAGATCACCTTTTTTTTGCTTGCGAATATAGTTCAAAAATATGGGCGACTTTGGCTAAGGGTCTTCTTAAAACAAGGTACACAACAGTTTGGTCACTCATTCTAGATTACATTTCGAACTCACAGCTTGAACGGGTAGAAGGATATCTCATCAAATCCGTCTTCCAAGTGGCTGTATATACGATATGGAAAGAACGCAATGGGCGAAGGCATGGTGACAAACCACAAACAGTGGAACGTATAACGAGTTGGATTGATAAGCAAGTAAGGAATCAGATCACGGCGATTCGATTAATGGGAGATAGGCGATATGCGGAAGCCTATCAGTTATGGCTTAAAGTTTATGGTTGATATGCTTGTTGTCAAAATTTGATTTTTTCTTTTCGGCTTTTCTTATCAGCAAAACGATGCACTAGTTATACAAACGTTTTATTTTTTCTTTTGAATATAATTTAACATTAGATTCAAAAAAAAAAAAAAATCTGTACCGTCGGCGAGATAAAACTGTGATCACCCTAATGGCGAAGTAAGGCAACGATGCACACTCAACGGAGAATTGAGAAAATTGAACCAAATCTGTAACTGTTGTTTTGAATTGCGAAAGTGTAGATGGAAAGAGAGAGGAAGATGAAATCTAAAAAACTTCACTGATGAAGAAGACGATGAAAACGAAACAGAAGAGAGAGAGAGAAGAAGAAGAAGAGATTGAATAGCGTACACGACGGCGACGTTTCAACGGAATCAAAATACGATGGCTGAAATCAATTTCATTGTAAGAAAAATCTATCACAATCTAGCAGCACGATGACGGATAGAAGAGAGAGAGAGACCTTAGAAAATCAAATGATTATGATGGCTACGATAGCCGGCAAAAAGAAACAAACGTTGGCCGGATTATCTACAAAGGGTGGCTAGCGAAGAGTTCGAACGGTGGCTGGCGAAGAATTCGAACGGTGGCGGCGAGGGGATCAAACAGTGGTCGACGAAGATTCTCTGAAATACTGTATAAAATTTTCGTGGAGAAATAAATTGAATTGGGGGAAGTTTTTTTAGGAATTAAACATGGCAAAGCTTTGAGGCTGAGCGGTGACCGGTGAGGGAATCGCAAACATTGGAAAAGGAAGGAACCTTAATCTCAGCCGTGGGAAATATTGCTTTTAATCTGGACCGCTGAAAAAAAAAGAAATTTGTTTTACACGTTGATGACATCAGCGTAACGGAATATTTTTTAATCTACACCATTAAATGTTTTTTCCTTTTAATCTGAACCGTTGATTTGACGTTGATGACGTCATCAGACACAAAAAATGGGTTTGCTATTATATATAGATTAATTTAATTATTATTCTAAAATATATTTATACCTAAATAATTTTGAAATTATTATTTTAACATATATAAAGTTATAAACTAATTTTACGGTTTTTTTCAAAAGACGATATTCAACAATTTTTCCGCCAAAATCATGATTCAACAATATTCAACAAGTTAAGAAAAACCGGAACTGGACATCAAGGAGTTACCCGATGCCATTTGTCAGCGGAGTTGAACAGGAAAATCGGAAATGGGCATATCATGGAGTAGGCCGATGAGATTTGTCCGGTGTCATTCTCTAGAAGGGTTGGGCAAGAAAACGGGAACTGGGGCATCATGGAATTTCCCGATGAGGTTTGCCCGATGCAATTCTCCAACGGAGTTGTCTTATATCACCATTTTCCCGTTTTTGACAAGAAAAACCTCTAACTCAAGCATAGCTTCCTAAAACATGTACAAGACTCAAGACGCGACCAAAAACATGCAAAAATTGAACAAAGACGCGACAAACTACTCAAAACGAACACTAGACGCTAAAAACACAACACATCACCAGCGTCCTTGACCAAAAGAACCAAAGGCGAATCCTCTCCAAATCGTCATGAAACCACCACAACCGCATCGCCAACAGGAGAACTCGTCGACGACCACAAGAGTTTGGTAACCCTCTTTTTCCACTTGCAAACCTCAACCCTGCAATTAAGCTCAAAATTTCCCAGATCTAGATCTAGAACTTTGCTTTTTGCCTTCAAGAGAAAGAGAATCTAAGCTAGCATTAAGTAATTGACTGTGTGACTAACTCTAATCTAAATAGTTTTTAATAGAAGACAGCTGTATTGAGGTACTACGTTAGGTCTTTTGTTTTATAAGTTTAATGTTTGTGTTTGTGTTCCCATTTGTGTTGACGTTTTATTAGTGACTTTTCTTCTTTAGCTTGTTACATCTCACTTTGAGAAAACAAGAAGATGATGTTGTTTTTCGTCTTAGGATCCGTCATCCTCGGAGCAATTCTTCTTGTTATTCTTCTTTTTCTTACTTACCTACTTCGTGAACTATATTATGAGACCAAAGAAGGTGAGTCCTTTTCTTAAGTCTACGCGATTATAACAAAGCTTTAGTAAATCATATTAACATAACGTCACTATAACATAAATCTTTTTGTCACCGACACGCAGTTTATAAGGAAGCTAGAGCGGAAGAGGAACACCTTATAAGGCCGAGCGTTTCAGTTGAATCTGAATATCCGCGTCCAGAATCAGTGCCGGCTGATTGTAGTTGTGATGTTAGAGGTGAGTCAATTAATTTACCATTTTTTTTTTAAACTTCTGATGGGAAAAAAAAGAAACGAATGACAAATTTTTATGTTGGCAACATACAGTTGAATCGAATTCAGGTACAAAACAGTCAATGGGCAAGTGGTTCGTCGGTATTCAAGATGGCATTTGTTCAGGCACAACGATAACGATTGGTCCTTCACTAAAAAATGAATACTACGCAGGAAACGACTTTGTGTTAGGAGGACAAAAGGATAGCGATTCAGATTAGAATTCCAATTTATACCAACATTTATTTTGTCTCTGTCTTTTCAGCATTTACTATTTCCTCTGTAGCAAATTAAATATGAACTGCCTTCTTGCTTTATAGTTGAAATCAAGCAACTACTTTCTTG